AAAGAGAAAGTATTACAGGTTATTTAGAACCAACTAACAGATATGATAGTATAAACAAAAATTTTTATAGACAAGGAGATAATATAGAAACCATTGTTCATTTTCTGTTAGTTGGTTCTAAATGAGTCTGATTTATCTCAGTTGTGAGGATAGTCTCAAGTTGCCTCATTTACCTATAAAAGCCTCAAGATCGTCCTTTTTATAGCTGAGTAATATTACATTGTATAAAAATACCACACCTTTTTCATCCATTCTGTAGTTGATGGGCATTTTTGTAGTTTCCAAGATTTAGAAATTGAGATGCTATATATAGATGCGTTGTAATCCCCACAGAGCCCCTGAGATGAAAAACGGGACAAGACCTCAAGATGACAAACGGGGCAAGACGTCTTTTTAAAAGAAGCGCTTTTATTTTAGCTGGCCCAGTGACACAGTGCAGATGGAATTTGCAAAGCTGTGCAACTGAGTTAGAGTTTTGACTGATTTTTATAGTTCATTTATGATTAGCTCATTGATCATTAAGTACATAGTGATGAGAAACAGAAATAAGGTGGGCCTTTGTTCCCCTTTGCTTGAGGTAAGAGGCATTTCACAGTGGGTGGTTAGCCAATTCATAGCCCTTGGTCTGCCAATTCCAGGAACATTTGTCTCTCATAAAGGGAACAATGGTTGACATAGCATCATTTGTCTCTTACAAGGGGAACAAAAGTTGACATTGCACACAGGTCACTAAGGTAGGGGGGATGATGCATTACAGAACAGCAGAACGACCTGGTCAGTTAATTTATAACTATGTGGTTGGTGTTTGGTTACTAGGGTAACGAGCTCAGTATAGAATGACAATATTGCTAATAACTATCCTTTTAAGTAACTATTTTTGCTAATTATCTTTTAATCAATTATTTTAATTTTTCAGCATCTTAGTATAACAAGATGCACATATATCACTGTGACATGACCTTTTCAATTTTTCTAGGGAAATACCCAAGAGGGGAATAGCTGGACTGAATGGAATTTCCAATCCTAGATTTTTGAGGAATCTCCACACTGATTTCTACAGTGGCTACACGAGTCTACACTCCCACCAACAGTGAAGTGTTCCTTTTTCCCCACAGCCCCTCCAACATTTGTTATCAATTAATTCCTTGATGGCAGCCATGCTTTCTACAGTAAAATGAAATCTCAATGCTGTTTCAATTTGTATTTCTTGCATGACCAGTGGTGGTGAACTTTTCTTCATGTATTTATTTGCCATTTGTATATCTTTATCTGAGAAATGCAAGTTCATCTCAGATGCCCATTTTTGGAGAGGGTCTTTGAATTTGGGGGGCTTGATGTTTTTCAGTTCTTTGTATGTTCTGGATATAGGTCCTTTGAGGGATTGCTGGTGAAAATCTTTTTTTTCCCATTCTGTGAGTTTTCTTTTCACTTTGTTGGTGATTTCTTTTGAAGTTCAAAAAGTTTTTAACAAGATTAGATCTAAGTTGTTGATTCTTTGAATTACTTTGAAGTAATTACTTTGAAGTAATTCCTGTGTGATTTGTGTTTTATTCATGAACTCTTTGCCTACCCCTATGTTTCCAAGATTTCTACCTAACTTGTCTTCCAGTAGATTTAGTGTTTCTGTTTTAATGTTTAGATCTTTGACCCATTTTGACTTTAGTTTAGTGCCTGGTGATAGACGTGGGTCTGGTTTCAGTCTTTGGCATGTGGAAAACCAATTTTTCCATCACCACTTATTAAAGAGGCTGTCCTTGCAGTGAACATGTTTAGCCCCTTTGTCAGAGATAAGGGGGCGGAGTGTCTTGGTAGTTGTGTTTGCATCTTCTAATCTGTTCCATTAATCCTCAAGTTTATTTCTTTGCCAATACCATACTGATTTTATCACTGTATCTTTATAGTATAATTTCAAGTCAAGAATTGAGATGCCTCCTGCCTTGCCTTTATTGCCAGAATTGCCTTTGCTATTATAGGTTTCCCTCTAATTTTAAATGAATTTTAGGGATGTTTTCTCTAGATCTGTATGGCATGTCAGTGGTATATTGCTTAGGATTGCATTAAATCTGTATAATAGTTTTGGGAGTATGGCCATTTTCCCAATGTTGGTTCTTCCTAACCAAGAGAAAGGGATATCTTTCGATTTTCTAATATCCTCTTCTATCTCATTTTTATGAGTAATACAATTTTCAGCATATAGGTCTTTTACATTCTTGGTTAGGTTGATTTCTAAGTATTTCATTTTTCTGGATGCTATTGTGAAAGTTGTTATTTCCATAATTTCTCTCTCATAGAGTGTTTTGTTTGTGTAGAGGAATGCTATTGATTTTTGAGTGTTGACTTTGTATCCAGCTACACTGCTATGTATGAAATCTAGTAGTCTTTTGATGGAATTTTTGGAATCTTCTATGTAGAGTATCATGTCATATTCAAATAGTCATAATTTAACTTTTTTCTTTCCTATCGTTATTTCTTTTGTTTCTCTCTCTTGTCTGATTTGCCTGGCTAGTGTTTTCAGAACTATATTGAATAGGAGTGGTGATAGTGGACATCATTGTCTTGTTCCTGATTTTAAAGTGAAAGCTTTCAGGTTTTGTCCATTCAGTATAATGCTGGCTGTTGATTTTTCATAGATAGCCTCCACAAGATTGAGGTAGATACCGTGTATTCCAAATTTCTGAAGGGTTTTTATCATGCACATGTGTTGGACTTTATCGATGTTTCTTTTTGAGTCAGCTGTGTTGTTTGTATATTGCTGGATTATGTTTTTGATCCATTCTGTCAATCTGTTTCTTTTAATAGGCAAATTGAGGCTAGTTACATTGAGAGATATAAGTGATATATACTAGCTCAACTTTTTCATGTTATTTTCCTGCTGTTGGTTTTTTGCTTTTCCCCATTGATTAATTGCTTGCCCAGTCTGGTGGTGTCTTTCTGTTATGGTTCTGGAAATCGTAATTATTTTTTATCTCTGTCTAGTGTGTCCTTTAGTACTCTTTCTGGGTTGGTTTGGTGGACATGAATTTCTTCCATTGTTCTTTGTTATGGAAATATTGTATTTCTCCATTAAGTTTCACAGAAAATATTGCAAGGTACATCAATCTGGGTTGAAAGTTGTTTTCTTTCAGGGCCTGAAATATTTCACTCAAAGCTCCTCTTAACTTGAGGGTTTGTGCTGAAAACTCTGCCATGATTTTAATGGGCTTTCCTTGATAGGTGAGTTGTGTCTTTTCTGTAACAGCTTTTACTATTCTGTTTTTATGGTGAATGTCTGGTATATTAATTATTACATGTCTGGGTATACATTTATTTTAGTTATGACTATTTGGTGTTCTATGTACCTCACTTACCTATATATCAGATTCTTTCCCCATGTTTGGGAAATTTTCTTCTGTGAATAGTTTACCAATGTCATTTGCATTGACTCATTTTTGTTGATGTCTATTAATCTTATACTATTTCTCTCTGCATCATCTTGAAGCTTTAAATTGTCATTTCATGCTGCCTTGTTATTATTAAATATTCTATCCTTTTGTGATTGCTAGCTGCAATCCTGTCTTCAAGGTCCAAAATTCTGTCCTCAGCTTCATTTAAATGGTTTCGCCAGCTTTCAGTAGAATATTTTATTCCTTGGGTATCTCTTTGAATTTGTTTCATGCATTCTACTTCTATTCTATATTGTTCATTCAAGGTTTCTATCATTTTCTCATGCTCCTGTACTTTTTTTATCTGTATCTTCTCTAGCCACGCTAAGCAACTCCTTTATTAAAGTTGTTATTTCTGTCTTTATCTGATTTCCTGTATAGCCTCATGAATTTGTTTCCTTACTTCACTCGCTATCTTTTTAGAAATTTCAGGTGTATGACTTCCAATGTCCTCTATTTTGATGCCTTCTGTACTTGTTTCTGATGGACTAGAAGTTGAGATTGCATTTTACTTTTTCATTTTGCCATTTTCACCTTTTGTGTTAATATTGGTCTTTCAGTTCCACTAACCCAACTGTTGGTATTGTGTATCTTAGGGTCCTACTGTGTGGTTGATATTTGTCCTATTGCTGGGTACCACAATGAACAAGAGGGCCAGTCACTTGAATTGCTTCTGCAGGGCCTTTTGGGCCAGTCCGACATGTTTCCTAGGCTGATAGAACTAGGAGTATTGATGTAACTCAACCCTTAGTTCCTGCTGTTAGTATGTCTTCAGGTTATTCCAGGCCACCAGATATACCTGGCTATAGTGTTTGCCTCATCTGGGACCCTACTGTGTCACTGGATGTTTTATAAGCTCTTTTAATTTCCTCCAGGTTGGGGGAGGCCTTATTGGCTTTCTCCTCAACCCACCTAATTTGTCTATATGGAGGAAGGACTCACCCACACTCTCGCCAGGCTTGCCACTGCTGGAGGAGGCTTTGCCACTGCTCATGTTTATCCACTCAAGTCCTCTATATTTGGGACAAATCCACCACACTGATGGAACCCTGCTGAGATCCTCTGTTTGGATGAGGGGTTTCTGAGTCTCTTATCAGCCCAGCCAGGTTAATCTAATGGAGTGAAAGGTTTTGGAAGGGGGTGGAGTAGCCAAAGATCCACAGCAGTACTAGTTCCAGAAGTTTGGGAGGGGGCAGCCGAAAACCTGCTGCCGTCCAGAGTCACCACTTATTGCTTTTGCCTTAGATTTTAAAAAATTGTATTGAAATATGTAAGATTAGTTTTGATTTCATTTTCTTCTAATGCAGTTGTACATTTGTGATTTTATTAATCTGAATTTCAAAAGTTCATTTTGTATGTGAATAATTTCTTCAATGTTTTATCCTGTTGCCATGAAGTAACATTTTTATTTTTAATCTTCTTTTTCTACAGCAATAAAGGCAGAAAAACCTGCTTAAATTATCTTAAATATGATCTTCTGTAGGGAGAATGTATTTCCCTTGTTCATAATCACTAAAGGTATGGCTTTCTTGGTATATTCATTGTTTTCACAAGAAATTATATTTCTTATTTTCACAGGTAAAAAGATGGCTTATCAGAAGATCAATGCAGATCAAAGAGCATCAGGACACTCGCAATATTTAGACAATGATGACCTTCAAGCCACTGCCCTTGATTTAGAGTGGGATATGGAGAAGGAACTAGAGGAACCTGGTTTTGACCAGTTCCAAATTGATAGTTCTGAGAATCAAAACCTGGGCCACCCAGAGTCTGTGGACCTAAATCTGGATTCCATTCAGCCATCAACTTCACCTAAAGGAAGATTCCAGCGACTACAAGAAGAATCTGACTATGTTTCCCATTATACAAGATCTGCACCAAAGAGCAACCGCGGCAACATTTGTCGCCTTTTAAAAATGTTTTGCACAGCCACCATTTTATTTATTCTTGGAATTTTGATAGGTTATTATGCACATTCAAATTGCCCTTTAGATGCCACATCTCCACCAACAGTTGATCCTCACTTATACCAAGAGATTCTCAAGACAATAGAAGCAGAAGATATTAAGAAGACTTTCAGGTAGGAGTCGAGAACATAAATGCTGGTGGGATATATTTCCTGGCAAAAATTGTCTTACGGGGATATTGAGCTAATGATTTTAACATTGTTTAAGTCAGCTTTCAAGAGTGAGACATATAATTTTCCAGCACATTAAGAAACTTCAAAGAGTAAGTATATTCTTTCAGATTTATGCTACTGCTATACAGATTTATGATGTGATTTTATTTTGTTTTTGTTTGTTTTTTGATGTGATAATAAGAATTGTGACTACAGTGGGTACAGAGGACTCCAACCAATGCATTTTATCTTAGGAAAAGTTAGGCCAAGTTTAGTTGCAGAGATTGTCAGTCATACAGATAATAACAACTAGGGCATTAGCCATGTGACTGAAAATGTTTATATATAAGAATAAAATAAGCCTAAAAATAAGCCCATAAAGGCTCACGTAACTGTTCTCAGTTCCTGGTGTGTACATTGGTAGTATTTGGTCTCCTGCATCCTTGAGCCCCTCAGTTAGCACTATGTATTTAAACATGTCAGATTCTATGCATCAGATACTTCTGAAGTCTCTTCTGTCTGTTTAAGGTGACTTTACATATGATCTCCTTGACAGAATGAGGATATTTAAATATAAGTGATAAAAAAAACTTTTATTCAGGCTGTAAGCCTGAGATTTGGGGAAAAAATTATTGAAGTCACGTAATTTGTGGATAACTTGAAATTGTTTATTACATTATTAACGTATATTTGAACTTTAAATAATAGTTAACATTTGGTGAAATGAAGAAATGGAAGATAAAGAATAGATATTATTTCCACATATAACTTTCATATTTTCAGAGAAAAGACAATTCCTGGTAACTCATAACTGTGATTTGTAGGTTGAGGGAGTAGAGAAATACCAATTCCCTAGGATATTCTTTCTGGGTTACATTTATTTCTTGATGTTGACATGTGCACATTTCTATGAATCTTTTCATGACAGCAAATCTATTGAGCACATATTGTTTAATGCATACTGAAGTATCAGGTGTTCTGAGATTGATGAATTCTAATTCTCTACTTACAGATCATGCATGAGTGACTAATGGAAATGTATTTTCTCACACTTATGTTTACTATTCACAGTTTAAGCATTCTTGCACAAGTAATATGTAGATAATGACATTAAATATTTTACAATATAAAATTATTTATACTAAATTGAGCTAAACGATACACCATTGTCTTATAATGAGTGATTGTGTCAATCAAATTCCAACCAATGCAAGAGAAAACTTCATGTATATTTCAAGTGTAGGATGTTAAAAATACAGATATAATTCCCTCTGTGATAAAAAAATGAGAAGATACTCTAGGGATGTAAAGGAAGTCCAAAAATAAAGCCATTACTAAACTTAGGCTGGAGGCTTGATGAAAGCTGGAACTTTCCTCATACACAAGTGGAAAGAAGGATGTAGGCGCAGCTGAAGGCACCACTGGGGACAGAGAGGATGAGAAGTACCACATCTTCTCCCTTCCTCCTGATTTTCAGCACTCTAGTAGTTGGCCTGTTGGCTAACCAGAGTAAAAGACTGACTCAGAATCTCATCTAAAGGAGTTAGCTTCCCGGAGAACATGCTGATATTGGAAAAGGGCAAAGAGACTTTCATAAATACAGTAAATCTTGCTGGTTCAGGGATATCATTTAACAAAAAGGAACAGATAAATTAAATACAAGGCCTTTATAAAATTGTGTTTATTATAATAGTTTAACATCCATCTATTCTGTGTCCCTAGATAAATATGCTAACTATGTCTGTCATGTCTATTGTGGACATTATTCTCTATTACAAAAGTGTCTCCTGAAAATAGATCTATGGGATTAATTTATATTTAATATTAAGAATAATTACATTTTTTCCTAAGGCATTTACTAGCTTTTAATTTAAGGACATCTGCCCTCTTTACCCTGGCGTGGAGTAAGTTTGGAATTAAATTTTTCATTAGTTGAGAGTGTATGGCTTTTGTCTGCTGTTTGCTGAAAACCTCACGTGATCATAGGTTGAGCTTTCAAGAGGTTAAAGTGTGTGATGCTGGAATCAAAGGTGTGTGGTTACTAAATTATTGCATGCACTGGTTTGGAATAGTTCTGGATAGGAGTAAGGGTGCCTCGCCCTGGAAGAGAGTACTGCTCATCCTAAGAGCACACTGATTGCATCCTCACAGAGAGAGCTGCTGTGGTCTTCTTATCACTTACTACTTTGCTGTTTCTTTGCTTCCCTCTATGAACTGTTTCTCTTCTGTGATGCCCTTCTGCCTCGTCCCGCCCTGCCTCGGAGCTAGCGGATTATGGAATGACATCTCTCCACACTCTGAGCTAAATATCCCTTTCCTCCTTTATCTTTCAGTGTCAGATATTTTGGCTCAGCAATGAAAAAAGTAATCATAATGAAGTGCTTCTTAACGCGTTTTGTTTAGTTCCTAAACTACATAATTTTTTTTGTATTTTTCATTTTCTTGTTTCACCTTGTTTTTTTTTTTTTTACCATTGTAAACATTTTAAAATGCATCTGTGTTCTCTTTATAAACAGGCAACTGATTTTAAATTTTAAAGTGTATGATTAATAGTATTATTCTCTTTAGAATGGAAGCTACAGGACAGTAAAGCTTTTATTCTCTTTTTTTTTTTTTTTTTTTTTTTTTTTAATTTAAGAGGAAAAAGAGAAAAACACAAAACAAACCAAAGCGGCGTAAGGGTACACGCAATACAGAACTACAAAACAAAACAAAACAAAACAAAACAAAACAAAACACCATAACAGTAAGAAATTACCTGCTAGTAGATTACACACTATTTTCTTGAAAATAGTTCCTCAAATCACAGTATCAAAGAACACAAGGTGGACATTCAAACAGGGAGACTGCAAACAGCTGTGTTCAATGTTCCAAAAACATTGATAAAGTCAGCTATTTAACACCCCCAAACACACTTGCTGTTATATCCGTTAGAGCTCCTTTTCTTTTTTTTTTTTCCCTCTCTTTTTTACAACAAAATTTACACATCTTGGATTTTATTACTCCTTAGTGCTTATTACTTTCTTTGGGGGGGGGAAGAATACAGTCAAATATGGCAAAACAAAGCTGTCAGTCAATACCAAGGATAGACGTAGCACATGGTGTAGAACAGAGTACAAGTTTATCAACAATGGTTATCAACGTTGTCCCTTGTTTCCTTAAAAAGAATTGTCTATCTTATTAGATATTATAAAGTTGGACAAAACAGTAGAGAACAAGACCAATAAAACTTAGGCGTTGTAAACATTACAGGACTTCCAAAGAAGACAATAGCCAAACCAGAATGGGTATCTTAGTGAATCTTATTGTCTTCAAAGTAGTTGCCTATGTCTTCAAACTTGATACTATCATATAGAATGGAACAGAGTCTAATCAGTCAAAACAAGATCGTGGGAGTACTACAGGACTTCAAAACAAGTTAATAGGAAATCGAAAAGAGTTACTATTTATATATCCTAATTTTTTTGAATTTTTTCTTTAATTAAGACAAACATAAGAAATGACTAAATAATTTTTTTTTGAAACAATAAGGGGGAGATTGAGATAAAACAGGACATAACAATATAACAATAGAGGTCACAGCATGACTGTTTCAATAACCTAGTACTTCACCACCTTATAACCTGACTTAATAGTAGTTACCATAGTGTCTTTTTCCTTGAAATATTTGGGTAAAACTTCATATATTCTAGCTTCAAATATTTTCATATCAAGAAGCCCAGAGTAAAGCCTTTCTAATTAATGAGTGAAAACTTTATAAGGCTTCAAGGCCACCTAATGGGGAATCATGATTACCACATATTTTTATATATTTGAATCATTACTTACATTAGGGAAACTATTCGGTATTCACACATGCGAGATTGATTTATTTCACTTATGAGTATGGTCTCAAGCTGTGCCCATTTATTGATAAATATCTCAATGTGATCCTTCTTTATAGCTGAATAATACTCCATTGTATAGAAATACCACAACTTTTTTATCCATTCCTCAGTTGATGGGCACTTGGGTTGTTTCCAAGATCTGGCGATTACAAATTGTGCTGCTATAAACATAGGTGCACATATATCACTGTGGTATGATGCTTTCAGTTCTTCTGGGAATATGCCTAGAAGTGGAATAGCTGGAATAAATGGGATTTCCAGTCCCAACTTTTTGAGAAATCTCCAGACAGATCTCCACAAAGGCTGTACCAGTCTACACTCCCACCAGCAGTGCAGGAGAGTTCCTTTAAAGCTTTTATTCTCATGCTAAATTGCACAATCTACAAAATGAGGTATATTTTAAAGCTATTTAGAAATATATAACCACCATAAATTAAACCTTTAGGTAATATTTCATGGCTTACCAGATTCCTGATTCTACTTCAGCCAATAGCCATAGGTTTTTTTTTTTTTTTTTAATTGAGACAACAGCCTTTTTTCTTTAAACAAAAATATTGTTGGTTCAGATATGCTTACGGAAACTTTCTCTGATTAACATCTCACTCAAAGACAGGTTTTTCACTCTTTAGCCTTGCTAACCACATTCCATATTGTAAGTTTCTGTGCTTACAAAGTATTTGTAGATGTAACTGTGCATATTATGGATTCCTATTTCAACTTACTATCATTTTCTGACAAATTTGAAGCTCTTACTGACTCACTATTTTGAATATCAAGTGTTTTTTTCCTCGTCTCTGTTGGTTCTCCATTCCTGTTAATACTTTAAAGATATGAGGTCTTATAAAATGTTTAGTAGTTCTACCTAACAAAAGATAATCATTCTGCAAATTCATAGGGAAATGGACCTACTTTCCTTTGCGTATTGTTAGATTCCATGTCTCATCACACACTGAATAAGTGTATTTAAAGGGAGGAAAATAGAGTATAAATAAATGAGAACTATATCTGCTTATCAATTATAATTTTTATTTTTAAAATCACCTCAGTTACTATTTAGATTGTTTCATATTGTGA